TCTTTTTTTTTTTTTTTTTTTGGTTTTTCGAGACAGGGTTTCTCTGTATAGCCCTGGCTGTCCTGGAACTCATTCTGTAGACCAGGCTGGCCTCGAACTCAGAAATCCGCCTGCCTCTGCCTCCCAAGTGCTGGGATTAAAGGCGTGCGCCACCACCGCACGGCCTTTTTTTTTTTTTTTTTTTAAAGATTTATTTGTCTGGGTGGTGATGCACTTTAATCCCAGCTCTCTTGAGGCAGAGGCAGTTGGACCTCTGTTAATTTGAGTCTACAGAGCAAGTTCTAGGATAGCCAAGGCTACACAAAGAAACTGTGTCTCAAAAAACAAAAAAAAACCTAAAAAATATTTTGTGTATTTGCATGCAGCTAATAGGCCAGAGAGGACATTAGCGTCTCTGAATCTGGTAGTGTGGGTCACTTGGTTGCAGTTGCTCTTCCAGTCTTCTAGAAGAGCAAAAGCACTTGTGACTACTAAGCCATCTCTCTAGCTCCCAATAAAAAATAAAAGTTCAAAAAACACAAGCTAGGTGTGGTAGCATATGCCTTTAATTCCAGCACTTGGGAGGCAGAAGGAGGTGGATCTCTGAGTTTGAGGCAGCCTGGTCTACAGAGTGAGTTTCAGGACAGCCAGGGCTACACAGAAAAACCCTGTCTCCAAATACAAACAACAACAACAACAACAAAAGAAAAATAACAGGGGCTGGAACAGTGGCTCAGCAGCTAAAAGCATTGACTGTTCTTTCAGAGGACTGGTTTAGATTCCAAGTACCCATACGGTAGCTCAGAACCATATGTAACTTCAGTTCCAGGAGACCTATCATCCTCCTCTGAATTCATTAGGCACCAGGCGTACTGTGGTGCACGTACATGTGTGCAGGCAAAATGCTCATAAAATAAATAAATCTAAAATCTAACATTTTGATTCGAGAGACAGAGTTCTCTGTGTGACAGGCCTGGCTGTCCTGAAACTTGGCTCTGTATACCAGGCTTCTCTTGAACTCACAAAGATCCAGTTGTCTCTTTGGAGTGCCAAAAATAGTAAGTCCTAGTTACAGGTATGATGGCACACACACCTTTAATCCTACCTAGTTTTATGCAAGCAGAGGCAAGTGGATCTCTTGAATTCAAGGCCAGCCTTGTCTACTTAGTGAGTTGCAGGACAGCCAGAGCTACAGAGAGAGACTCTCAAAAACAAACAAACAAGAATGAGTTACGTAATTGCTTCTCACACCTCTTGGTTCCTTAATTTCTATCTCCAGAGTAATAAATCACTATCTTCTCATTCTCAGAGGCTCTGGAGATCCTGGCAAAAAGAAACAGCACATTTGTCATATCCAGGGATGCGGCAAAGTATATGGCAAGACCTCACATCTCCGGGCACACTTGCGCTGGCATACAGGGGAGAGGCCATTCATGTGTAATTGGGCATATTGTGGGAAGCGCTTTACACGTTCGGATGAGCTTCAGAGACATAAACGTACACATACAGGTGCGTAAGACCCAAGGTAAAGGGAAAATAGTAAACAAGAAAAGAAATGATATGTATGCCTGTGAAGCTAACTGAAATCCCTGAACAATGCATATGTGACTCTAACTGTGTCTCCAAGAGTACTTGAGTTAGTCTGGAAGGTTTTAATAAGGAGTTTGATTTCAAGGGGGATTTTGAAGGACACACATCAACCCCAACTTTTTTCTGATTGCTTTTTGGCTAATTTACCTTTTTTTGTTTCTGTTTTTTTTGTTTTTTTAAATCTAGGAGAGAAGAAATTTGCCTGTCCTGAGTGCCCTAAGCGTTTCATGAGGAGTGATCACCTGTCAAAGCATATCAAGACCCACCAGAACAAAAAGGGAGGCCCAGGTGTAGCCCTGAGTGTGGGCACATTGCCCCTGGACAGTGGGGCAGGTTCAGAAGGCAGTGGCACTGCCACTCCTTCAGCCCTTATTACCACCAATATGGTAGCCATGGAGGCCATCTGTCCAGAGGGTATTGCCCGCCTTGCCAACAGTGGCATCAACGTCATGCAGGTGACAGAGCTGCAGTCCATTAATATCAGTGGCAATGGTTTCTAAGATTAGACACCCAGGGCCAGAGACATATGGGCCAACACCCACCAAGCCTGGGATGCAAGGTAGCATGGGTCCAAGAGACATGTGGAAGAGAGAGCCATGAGGCATTAATGTGCTTGGTGGTAGGAAAAATTGGGAGATGGTACAAAAGAAGAGATGGGATCGTGGCACCCAGCTATGTCACTGGTGACTCCTTGAAAATGGAAGATATTAGTGAGAATTGTGTTGGTGCCACCCTTTGATCAGCATTTATCTTGTCCCAGGTTCTTCTTACACTTCTTACCCCAGCCTCTTCTTCCTGTTTTCCCCTCTTAGCTCTCCCATGATGGATTCCCCCCCTACCCTTTTCCTAAAGCCATCATGCCTTGATAAATATATATGATCATTGAAATACTTTTTAACAAAAACAGATTCTATATTATATATATATATATATTAAAAAATATATAGAGATGCTTTCACAGGGGCTGGCTGGGAGGAGGAAAAAGACCATTCTGTGACCAAAATACCTTGGTCTTTTTTTCTTTTTTTTTCTTTTCTTTTCTTTTTTTTTTTTTTTTTTTAATATTGCCTTATTTCTCAATGGCTGAGCCTTATCATGACACATCAAGCTTTCCTATAAATGTTGTCCTGGCATCCCACCAGAGTAAGCATTCATACTCTCTGCTTTTAGTTCATATATACATATATAATGTGTCTTCTTTCTTAATTTTGTTACTTTATTTGGGATCAGCTCCTTGCACACCTTTCCTGACTCAATCCTTTTTGTCTCCCTTTTTCTCACATGATCACTTCCTGTGTTGTTTTTTGACAGTGATTCCTGGATTAGGCACTTCTGTTGATATTTTAAAGTCCTTAGTTCGAGCAATGGCGTGGATAAGCCTTGAAGTGTATGTAGTCTGATGCTTGAAGTAGCTATGGAGGGAGTGTTCAAAATACTACTAACGCAGGCACCTTCTTAGTGCTGTAGAGTCAAAATGGTCTCCCTTTATTAGCTGTTCTAAACATCAGAAATCAGAAGTCTTTCTGTGGAATTGTACAAGAGACCCTTTGAAGGAGATATACTGTCAAAATGGTCAAATAGTAGGCAGCAGCTTTCAGTATGAAAAAGATGTTCTCAGAAAAGGAAATAACTCATAGTCTTGTGTTCAGAAGTTAGTGGAATTATTCAGATTTCAGTATCATTGTCTTCCAAATAGCTCTATGCCTCAATGTGTGGGCTTCTGAGTTCACACTCTGAGAGGAAGTGAGTGCACTTCCTCTTTTGAGCATTTCTGTATTTCCTTCCTGTTAATGTTTTAATGTTAAGGAGCATCAGCCAGTGAATCTATCCGGACTCTCCATTCTGTAGAGTGCAGAACTTATGCCAGTGGCAAAAGTGGTTCTTTAAAAAAAAAAGTCCCCCTTAACTCTTCCTTAGATGTACTTGGGTGGTTCCTAAGGGAAAGGGAAGCACACAATCATGGGAATGATAGCCCAGAACAAAAATAAATCTTGTCTTACCACTGTGGATTATAGGAGAAATTGGGAGAAATTATCCTGCTTTCTCTATGGCCTGATTCCAGAAGAGACTGATCCAAAAATTATATCGGCAGGGAAACTTCAGTGTATTTGACACTGAGACTTAAATGCAACCAGAATTGTCCTCAAGGCCAGCCATTAAAGCATTGTCTCTCTTGACCTTCTGCTATCTTGTCAGAGAGCTTTTCACTGTGAGGAAGTATGGAAGTGGTTGAGTGTATGTGTGAAATCTATTAGGTTGGGGATAGGTTTTCTGTTAGCCAATATTTAAAGAGACCTGCAATAAAAAATTACCCTGATCTGATAGAGAAACTAAAATGTTTGTGTATGACTGTGTGTGAATGTGTTCATGCCTGTATATATCTACATGCAGATGAGAACTTATATTTGAAATTGTTGAAAAATAAATTCAGATCGAAACGCCTTTCAGGTCCATTATCTAGAAATTGGTCATAAAACTTGGGTATGTTCCTAAGGTCAGTTCTCTGCTCATGCTAAATCGGTTAACAATTATGGGGTGGGGGGATATCCTAGTGCACTTTCTAAAGAAGAAACTATTTTTGTGTTTGAAAATGAAATCAACATCCAAATCTATAGTGGATTCCTTATTCTAACTTCTCTATCTTGGCTACAAATAAGATTATAGTGTTATTATACATTTTATGTAAATTCCATCTAAACTAGGTTCCTGATAAGTTTATGGTATTGTTAGCTTGAAATATTAACATTAGTTTATCCCATTTGGTCCTTTCTGTGCAGACTTAATACTGTTATCAAGACTCAGGAAATATTTCAAGGGACTGTCCCCAAATCACATGTTATTAATGTTGAAGTAAAAGTTATCTGTCCTCAGCCACCACCACACCTTTTATTCCTAAAGAAAAGCAGAACTCAAACTGTGTTACTTTACATTTATAATCATGTACTTTGGCATCTGGAGGAAGAGGGCAGGATAACTCACTGGAGTGTGCAGTATTTTGCTAGAAAATTTCAAGGAATAGAATCTTGTTCAGTATGAGGTGATTAGATACAAGCTGGCTTAGTAATGCTGAGGAGGATAAGCCTTTGGATAAGTTCTCTCTCTGGTGAAGAGCTGAGGATTTCCCCTCAACATCCGCTACGTTAACATTACCATGAATTAATTTACATCAGATTCTTTCTGCTTTTTACATTTACTTCTCTGGTGTCTTAACCATAAAATGGAATCAGCTTCTGCTCTTGTGTCCCTGTCTATGAGCCACTCAGCCTTTTCCACAGTTAAGAGACTACATTCCTCTAGTCAGGGTCTCATGACTGAAAAATAACCTTTCCCCAAACTTTTGGCCATCAGAATTTAACATAATTGGCACCATATTGATTCCAAAATTCTTTTCATTACATTTTTGTTATTGGTGTGGGATTTTTTGTTTGTTTTGTTTCATTGAGACAGGGTTTTACTCTGTAGCCTAGGCTAGCCTGGAATTCACTATGTAACTCAGACTGACCTGGAACTTTGAATAATTTTTTTGCCTCCAAGTGTTGGGATTACAAGTATATGTCACTATGTCCAGCCTTCATGATTTTTTACTTAATTTTTAAAAAAAAAAAATGGCTGCACCTTGCTAAGTGGTGGGTGACCACCAATGTAGTAATCTTGTTTTTTGTTTTGAAATAGATCTTTTTAGGTACTCTTGGCTGGTCTGAATTCATATGTAGTCCAGGCTGCTGAGATCTGTCCACCTTGGCCTTTGAAATGTTAAGGTTACAGATGTATGCCACCACACCCAGCAGAAATAGTAATCTTAGAGAATTCATTTCCCTTGTCCTAGGCTGCCCATTTGTATTCATCTACAAACTATTTGACTGTGTCATCTTTTTCCTAGAAAGGACCGACCCACCATTGTCCTTCAGGGACCTCCTAATGGGCACTCTCTTTCTCAGCCTAATAGACCCTTTAATCACAGAAAGTATAGACTGAAGTATGGGATGAAGGTGTTATAATTTGGGGAGGGTGGGAGACTAAAGCTGTAAATTACTATGGCTGATTTATTTCTACTATATACATATATTTTTTGCTTTTGTATATCTTATATAGAAAACTAAGCATTGTATTTTTTTAACAAATCTGAGAAAGCACTATGAACTGCAGGTGTTTGACTTTCAGAATATATTTTGTATTGTTAATACTTCACATTATGTGAATACTGGAAGCTGCAGATCTTTGTAGGCTGCAATAAAATTGGATACTTTTTGAGGGGTTCTTTTGGAGGTGCTAATCAAGCCTCTGTTATACTTTGAAGGAGCCCTGGTGCTACATGATTAAAGTCTTCATTCAATTTTAAGTGCCCTAATGTCTTTTTGGACCTTGGGATCAAATGATAAGTGATTTAGAGATCAAGTACCGAGGAAGTGACAGTAGTGTCCCTGCCTAAGCTGAGGGCCTCTTTGCGTGGTTTTACTTTCCATAGACAAAGTAGGATAGCCTCTTGGGGTTGAAAGGAGAAATGTTGGAAATCTCAGAGTTTTGTCTTCTCTTAGGAGAGCCAGTATCTTACAAGGATAAAGGTAGCAGCGGTTGCTCTGGGAGGGTATGGCACTTTTCCAACCCGGAAAACATTGCTTCGAATGCTGCTGATAAAACATGGGCAGGTTATTACTTTGGTTTAGAAGACTGTGTGCCTCTCTTGGCTCTGCTCTGGGGGTACAGATCTCATCTAGGAGAACGAGTAGACCAGCTTTGAGGTTGAGCTGTTTCTTTTCTTTGTCTGCCTTCCCTAAATACCATCCCCCAGAAAAGACATTAAGCAGCCTTTATTTTAAGTTCCTACTCCCTCTTCCAGACTTGGCTCATGTGTAGATTGAAGACTGGGAAGAGAGAAGAGGGGCCATCTTTGGCTCCATTCCTTCCCTAAGTCACTTCTGCTCTGACTTCCCAAACTCAGAAGGATTTCTCCACAGCACTCATTTGAGAGAGTGAAGCTTTTTCTTTTTTCTTTCCAATTTGCCCCTTCTTTATCAAACAGCCCAACCTTCCTTGTCTTGGCTAAGAAGACAGTACAGAGACTCATCTGTCCTTCAGCTCCTGTAATTCCCAGCTCATTATGGAGATCGAGGAGCACGGCAGATTAGGCTGGGGCTACAGATAGAGAAGACTTTAGGTACATCTGCTTGGTTGTGTGCTTTCCTATATCTTGCCTTCAGGAATCACACTGTGCCTTCTCCACTAGTGAACTGATTCTGTCTACACAGCTTTTCCAGTAACTGCTCTTGAAAATTGTGGGTAATGGCAGTTCTTCATATTTCTGATGACTCTTTTCACCCAGTAACATCCTAATATCCCTTACCTAGCTAAAGACTAGGCACAAAGTCAGAGTATGTTGATAATGATCTGAGGAAGCCAAAGGCAGCTGCCCTAGGGCCTGCGTCCCTCTCCCAAGCCATCCCAGGGCAGAGGAGTAGTGCTCCAATCTGGTGCCTAAAACCAGTTTATCTTTCTCAATACTGGCAATAACCAGTCTCTGTACCACTGTTGCCTTTAAACCTTTTAATCTCACGATGTTTGTTGTGGGTTCCAATCCAGTTATCACCAGGGCTGTGAGGGTAAATACTTCTAAACAGTCACTCTTGCGTATGTATGATGTTAATCTCTTGTCTTCCTGCTCCTTTTGTATCTTCCTCGTCTCTCTCCCCCCTAAATTTGTCCCTGGGTGTTTTGGGGATCTCAGTATCTCTTTCTCTATATCTCTATCAATCTCTCTGCCTTTTGTACAAAGATTAGTTTCAATGTAGTCTGTAGTTCCTTTGTAAACCAATTAAAATTTTTTTTAATAAATCATGTCTCTGGTGTATTGAGAGGGTTGGGAAAGGGTTATGTGATAACTTCCTATTTTGAATCCAGCACGTTGCAGCTACCTACACTATATTGTGCTCCCATACATTTTATTTAATGCACTTACTCTACACTTCAATCTGTTCACGAACAGAACAGTATGCTTTGACTACACAGAAAT